TCTTCCTTTCTTCCTTTCTTCCTTTCTTCCTTTCTTCCTTTCTTCCTTTCTTCCTTTCTTTCTTTTGCTAAAGGTGTTGGGAAAACTGGCAACAGCAAGCCCCAGAACTTCCAGAAATCTATCCTAATTGCATCACTTCGAAGTCCCAAACTTTATTGCCCAGTTTAATGATGTGCTCGGTTATTTATGACATTGCACAATGCATCTGCTGCTGAATTAGTATACTTCTTTAAAGACCATCATTGTCACAAGCGATAAAACGGAACTATTGCCAGACAGCTCAATTATGCCACATTTATAAAAACCTACCCAAATCACCCTGGGCAATTTTGAGGGGGCTGGAAAGCAGATGACAAGGATCACAGCATGTCAGGCGCAGAAAAGGAGAGAGCACCAAGGGCCCTGCAGGCGAAAATGAGGTGTGCAGATGGACTTGTGAGAAAGGAGGGGAGGAAAGAGATGTGTATGCTGGGAGAAAGAGCAGAGGTTCTGGGCAGCTGTGATGTAAAGGGGCCTCCTGGCCTGGGACAACAGGAATGTTGCAAAATGTGAATGCAAAAGTCATTCCAGGTCTTCCAATAGGAACTGCCTGGTCAAACATAATATGCAAGGTTATGTGGCAAGAATAAGCCAGCTTTCCTTCTTAAGCTGCTTACCTTTCTGGTATTGCAACCAGAGTTGCTGCTGGATCTTCTTGCTTGGGAAATGGATGGTGCAGCTGAATTCAGAGCCATATAAGCCCTCTGCTATGTAATGGGAACCGTACTGCTGAATGAAATACAGCAGCTCCTCACGGCTGCTGTCTTTGTCCAGGATCTTGAGGACATTTGCAAACCCTAGAAAGGTAAAGTAGAAGGAGAGGGAGAGGGTTGCAACGGACGACAAAACAACTGGAGATTGCACAGCAGGAAGTGGTGTCAGATCCAGGGTTCGTATCATCTGAGAGCCTGTTGCTCAACAAAGAGCTTAAGGAATTAAAGGCGAGCTGTGATTATATGAGACAAGCAAACCAACTCTAATGCCTTTTGAATGTTCTTCTGTCCAGATCACCATTGTACAAGTGGAATTGAATGTTCCAATCAATTTGGAAAACCAATCTGATTCAAAAACGTGATTGGAATCAAATTGCCCTGCTTACCAAATTTCAAATGGCTGGGTTGAGGAGACGGCCCAGCTAGCTACAAGGCAGCTTGGTAGACCGTTTCTGTCTGTGTATATGGACGCTGCCAAAATGGTTGTCCTTGAAACTTCTACATGTCAGTCTCCTAGGAAGCTGGAAGCTGGAGATATACATCTTATCACTCAGATGTTACAGAGCAGCACAGCTTCCAGCCATTAAAAGATCCACAGAGCCTTGGATGATACCTGCTAGCATCTGCCAGGGGAACACCAGCCATTTTTTACCTGCAAATATTGTTACAAATTAATTGTGCTCACCTGCCGAGAGGGCGATGGTGCTTAGCTTCACTCTGTACAAGTTACTTCGGACCCTCCAGTGTTGAACCATGGGGTACCCCATGGCTTCATCATATCGGATATCACCTGTGAATAGAGAGTCACGGTTCAAAGTGCTTGTTGGACATGGTCAGAGAAGAAGTAAGTGTAGGCAAGGTACAGATGTCCAATCAAAAGAGGAATGGTGGTCCTCAAGAATGAGATGTGGCCACTGACTTTCCTCCTTGTTTTCTGTCAAGGACCCTTCCTTAGTCTGTGTGTGTGTGTGTTCTTAATCCCATTATACTGATACTTCGTAAGCCGTTCACAGTTTCTGGAAATGGAGTAAATTGCATGAATAAATAATTATTAAGCAGTAATAATAAATTGAAAGAATAATAAACAGCAAGTTGTCAGCTTGCTCAGAAGCTAGAGTTCATGTATTTCCATGATGGATGAGGAAGTTAGTCTTCCATGTCTACAGTGGAAGCCCAAGAGTGATTCTTCCTAGCAGACATATTGGAGAGCAAGTTTTTCCGTCAGCTGGAAACTGACGTCAACTGTTAGGGACCAGTTTCTTTTCATTCTCAGCCAGCAGAAAAACTGGACGATTTGGGGGGTAGAAAGATTGGAAAACTCATTCTCTACCACTTCAGTCACTCCTCTGCATGCTTACAGTGACTTGGAATATATTGTTAACTACAAGTTGTAAGAGGGAAATTCAGCCCTGATTCCTGTTCTGCCTGCCTTTGCTAGCCCATTTCTGGAACTGTGGATATGACAGTGTGGAAGGCCACCATAGAAAACTCAAGGTTCCTACCAGTAAGAAGTTGGAGGTTGGGAAGAGGTTCTGATAGCACTCCACGACACTGCTCCTCAACCGGTAAAGGAATGACCACCAGGGCATCAGCCAGTTGGGGAAAGTCCTTGATGAAATTGTTCTCCCTAGCAAAAGAAACCAGAGAATCGAAACACAGTGATTTGGACACAGTCTGGGTGGAGATGCTGGAGAGATGTTGACTTGGATTCAAAAGGGAAAAGACCATAAGACAGACAGACAGACATAAATATGCACAAGGAGAGAAAAACTAATGAATGTCACCCTTTTGGATGGAATTCTTGGTGACTTTACAGACATCCCAGTGGTTCTTCTTCTGGGATTGACTTCCCAGCCTAGCCTACAACTCTGAGATTCCCTGTTGGATCTTCCCTCCACATATCAACCAGTCCTGACCTTTTTTAGATTCCCAACCCAAACAAGGTAGGCCAGCTGCTGACACCTGCTAGATACGTCTTCCTCAGTAAATCCAGTCCCTCCAGTGCAAACCACTTGTCACTGTCTATTCTGGATTATTCAGAGGTTCAGTGTCAAGCAGGACACAGCTTCAGTATTTCCATACCAGCAGTAGAAACATTTCAAAATGGAGTTGCCAAGCTCTCTTGTAGGAAGACATCAAACCTGGTTTCTTTTTCCCATTCAACTCTTCAGTGAACCTTCTAAATCCAGAGGTGGAGAAGTTTAGACCCCAAACACTCCAAGATACATGCTCTATTTATTACTGAAGAATTTAGCAACATACTGGAAAAGAGATGTCCTCAAACTGGCAGAGCCATTCCAAGAAAGTGGAAGTGACTCTTTCTGGTCTCAACAATCTGCTCTCCACACCAGGGTGCCAATGCAAACTGGGTATTTTGGCTCTTCAAAGCCCTTTTCTCAACTTGACGCCATCAAGGAAAGTTTGGCAAAGCTGTTGCCTGGAGCCATCACCTTCTGCCAGTCCCATCCCATAATATTCTGCACAGAGTCCTAAAAGGCAGCCAGACTTCTCTGAAACACAATGCAGCCATTCAACCTCAGGCCTACATTTAATTTTCAAAGGACAGGAATAGCTAATTAACTTGCCTGGATTCTGCCATTATCTTAAAAAACAAAACCAACCAGCCAGGATGGGGGAGGGGATTTTATAAAGGAGGAGAAAACAGGGCTGTTTTGTACATGCAGACTGACAAGATTGATGTTGGCCTGCTGGGGTAAGCCAGATAAGAATCACAACCAGATGAGCTAATTCTGTTCTATTGTAAAGCTACATTGGCAGAATCACCCCGAGAAACTAGGGAGGGTCCCTTCTGAGCCTCTTGCCCCACCCACTATGCAGCTGCGGGCTATGCCGTCTCTTATCTGACCGTTCCCTTGGCAGTGTCTCTTGGCCCAGTCTTTCAAGGTCTTTCCCGCATACCATCACACGCAGATACATAACACAGTTGCAACACCCCGTTGATTGGGTTTAGCTATAGCAACCATTCCTTTCAGTTCTGACTTTGAGAACAGCTCCCTCAGCACTAACATTGCTTATCAGATCGTCCCAAAGTCTTTTCGATGCCAACAGTATTGAGCTCGTGTCACAAGAGGTTTTATCTGCTCGGATGATCAGGTGTGCCATCTGTGCCTCGGGCAACAGGTACAATCTGCTTTTCCACGGCAGCCATGTGGAGACCTTTTCCTCCCCCTCCTGCCATTCTTGTTTTCTCCTCTTTGCTTCAGGGACTTGGTGGAAATAAGCAAAATGAAAGATAGGGCGTCAAATAAAGTCCTATTGATCTAGAGCCTGTAAACCAGATGAAACACACAGTGGCTTGCTATAAGAAAAAAAGAAAGGCGTATGAATTACAGACTGTTTCTTATGAACTGGAGACCTGGCAGGGGGAGGCGGGGCTATCAAATTGCACCTCTCACTCTATCAGAAACAAGGATATCTCGAGAAAACAAAGCCATTGCTCTCTGATCATTGCAAACCTGTTTATTTCCGATTCAGCTGGTTCCCAAATCTTGCAGTCACAACGTGACACACCATTTACCGAAGCCCCTTCACCTCTCATCTTTTGTTGTGTGTTTCTGTCTGTCTCTGTCTCTCTCTCTCTGTGCGTTTTGCCACCATGCAGAAATATTTCTATTTCCCTGCAGTTTCTAATGCTGTTTATCCTTTAGGCTGGGTTTTAAAGAACATTTTTTAGAACTTGGCTGTGCTGCTACCAACAATTGTGTTTATTTATTGTTAGTATTTCATTGTTTGTCTTGGCTTTATGCAAATCACTCTGGAAGATTTTGCTTTTCTGCTCGTTGGTTTTTGCTTTATAACAGGGAAAGTTAACTAAACATAAATCTTGCCTCTTCTTACACCTGACAAAGTGGCCTTTCCGGCATCCCCGCCAGCCCTGATAACTTTATTATGGAGTGGGAAAGAGATTTGGCCCAAGGGGGATGAAGAAACAGAACAAAACATTGTAGCATTTGAGCGTATTCTTTGCACAGGAAAGACTTTTCGTGCACAGCCAGAGATCAGCCCCTGGCATTTCATGTTTAAAAAAGTCTTTGGGAGAAACTCTACCCATAAATTCAGAGAGCCAGTATCATTCAAGGTAAGCACAAAGAAAAAGGGGAAAAAACAAGTGAGACCTATCAATGTCTAGAGTTAAACCGAATGGGCGAAAAACTCATTGGAGAACTGTGTGCTTTGTCTCACAGGGCGGTTTAGGGGGTTGGACAATCTGGACTGAGAAAAATGATACAAGGGAACATGTTAAATACCCACCATCACTGTTGGTTTAGACTCTTTCTAGTTCACTACTTAAAGAGAGAGAGGGAGAGAGATCTGGGTTTGCAGTTATACAGCTCTATGGAGACTTGTCCCCAGCTTCTAACTAGATCAGACTGCAACCATATAATTTATGCAGGGGAATCAATAGTTCCCCCTAAAATATTCACCTATTTTAATTTGCCATCCCTACAGGGGGGGCCCGTTTGCTTCTGGGCAGATGTCAAGGTGTCGCTCCTCATCTTGAAAGCACTATGTTACCCAAGGCAACATTGCCTACCATACCAACTCACAGGCTTCCACCATCAAGTGGGAAGAACAGACCTCCATGTAGGAGGTTGCCTGGGGTTAAAGAAAGGAGCTTTGGGGTGATTGTATCACTGGTGTGGAATAAGTTGTCCAATCAGGTTTGAGTGGCCCATCTCTGATGGTCTTCTCCAGTTGGCTTGTAAGACCTGTTTCCTTCTGCCAGACTGAGCTGCTATTAGCAAGAAATTAAAAAAATATATCCATAGTGCTAATAAGTGTTTTGTTTTGTCAATGGCTCTGTCCGTTTGCTTGTCTGTCTGTCCGTCCATCCATCCATCCATCCATCCATCCATCCATCCATCCATCCCAAATATAGTTGAAATGCAAAACACTTTTCAAAATACATAATAAACATATGCATAAAACATAGTTGGGGATGGAGAGAATAAACAGCTTTTTGTCCAGCTGACAGCTCAGGGGTCTGCAGAACTGCTGACCACAGCAGCAGTAGCACCTGGTCTGTCAGCAGCTGCAACAAGAGAGTTTTTCACCTGATAGATGCTGCTACAAAGCATATGTGCCAGACGTAGACTTAAAAAGACCCCTCATGACATAAAAGATAAGAAATGAAGATCAGAGCAGTTGCTTCTCTGTGCGGTCGGTTTCCCTGGGAGTGCGATGGGAGGAACACCCACTGCTAGACAGTTACCTGCCTCCCCTGAGTTTGTGTGCAGAGGGGAAGAATGATGAACATCTTAGTGCAAGTCTCCAAAATACTCTTATTTAAAAGATGCATCTGTAGAGGGGAAAGTTTGCATTTATGCAGTATGATAATCTAGAGTAGTACCATGTTGGGGTAAAACATCCCTTTCAGTGGATGAATCTTCATGGGTGGTGTTCTTGCACTGATTACAAGGTGAGAATGGGTTCCCTTTCTAAATTTTGGTGGAGAATCCTCTCTCTGGCAGACTGAAGTCTCCCTGCAGTTATATCCTTGGGGAAGATTTCAAGAGGGGACATTTGTATGGAGCTTTTCCCAAATGGGAACGGTGAGCAGGGAGAGAGGCTGCAGAGGGATGAAAAGAAGTCCCCCAATAGAAGCAGTAGGACCTTCCATCTCTCGGGACACTAAAGACTGCTTGAAATGCCACCGAGAGAAATGTGAAGAAGAAAAAATTCAAGCAGAATGCAGAAATTCAGAGGGCACTTGAAAAAAACTTCTGAATGTTGCAAAGGGTATTTTGGAGATAAAGATGCACATTTCAGGCAATAGCAAGGTGCCAAATATTTCCAGAAAAATACTGGTCTGCTGGAGAAGAAGAAGAGATAGAAGCCCTACAGTACACATGCATGGAGGGAAAGTCCTACAAAGTAAAGCTTTGACACAAAGGCCTTAGTATAATATGAAGAGGCTTATCTGTAGGTGAGCGATTTGGCCTCTGGCTAATACACCGAGAGGAGAGATCTCTGGATGAATTTTTCCCTACGAGGAAGTTAAGCAAGTTATGGGAGAGCACCAGGATGAGCGCAACCACCAACTTCCCAGCAATGAAAGCCTAGGAAGTTGAAAATATCTCAGAAAATCGCAGTGGCAAATCCTTTCAGTATCATGGCCAGGAAAAGGGTTGGGTTGTGCCCATGAAGTCACCAGGGGTTGAGACTGACTTCTGGAGGGAGAATGTCTGATGGTGCTAAGAGAAAGAGAAGAGTCGCAGTTTTAGGACTCAGCCAATAGAGGGCTGTACATGCTTTGGAACATGGCACATAAGAATGGGAAAAGATAAGAGTTTCTTTCTAAAATTTGCACGTGACCAGCTTTCCTTGCCAACAGCAGACTCCTAGCAAGAAAGGGCAATTTGCTGTGATTTTGCTTTAGACTGGGAGGCAATATTGTGGCTAGGGCTAGAGAGAGAGAGGCCCCAGCTTCCGCCTCCCAGATGTGTGGATTTCTCCCGCACAGCAGAAATGTGAATGTTAAGAGAAAAGTGGGAGAGAAAGAACCCACAGAGACAGAGAGATTCTTCCTTGATGGAAACTCACTGGACAATCCTAAGCAAGCTCAGCATTGCAGCCTTCCCTATCTTTCTTTCGTCCATATTTAAG